AAAGAAAGAAAGAAAGAAAGAAAGAAAGAAAGAAAGAAAGAAAGAAAAAAGAAAGAAAGAAAAGAAATACACGAAGTGTTGGGTGATAGTGCTGTTTCAGTGACATGACCCTGAACAGCAGTATGGGGGAAGGAAGCCTTAGTCACCACTGGGGATCCTAAGACCCAAACTCCATACCAGAGTTGATATGCTCGAGAGGCCCAGAGAGACCGTGGTGTGCCCAATGCTTGCTCCGCTGCCTGTTTGCAGGCTGGGTCCTCAGGCTGTCAGGAAGTGTGCCCGAGGGATGAGAACGTTCCCCAAATTGGGTTTCTCTATCCACACGGCTGGAAGGGAATCTCCTTGGAGTGGACACTGATACGTGTTCTGATACCTAAACTCTGATGTTCTGATGCTTGGCACAGGGCAAACTCAGACAAAGGGCGAGGCCAGCTCTGTACAACTGAATGACGCGGGGATGGACACGGTCCATAAGGGCGTGCCTACTGTCTCTTCGTCATGGGAGCTGCCGTGGAGGCTAGTACCCGCCGTGACGCTGATACTTGTTTGTCCTTCTTGCAGCAGTCCTGTGTCAACTGTGGCCGGGAGGCCATGAGTGAGTGTACCGGATGCCACAAGGTTAACTACTGCTCCACATTCTGCCAGCGCAAGGTAGTGTGCCTGCTTACATGCCTGCATTGCCTCAGCCCTTCCTCTGCTCTGCTGTCCTGTCCAGGCCTAGACAGGTGGACTCACTCCAAGTCCCTAAGGACCAGAGGGACAAAGTCTCTTCAGAATCCCCAACACCCTCCCTCACCCACCCATACACCTTGTTGGGTCTGGGACTATCCCTTCCCCTTTCTGCAGGCTCCAGCTGGGTCTGTGAGGGGAGAAGGCACATGAGAATCTGTGTGCCTGTAGTTAGACCTGCTCACTGGTAGGGACTCCATGTTCTCAGGGCCTCTCACCGTGTCCTAGCTCAGCAGGCCTCAGCGCACTGTGAGAATCATTGTCCACTGTGTCTTTGTTTATGTTATTTAACCATTGGCTCTGGGAACATTAAAGAGGGTTTTTGTTTTTTTGTTTTGTGGGGTTTTGTTGTTGTTGTTGTTTTGTTTTGTTTTTGGGTTTGTTTTTTTGTTTTTGTTTTTTTGTTTTTTGTTTTTTTTAGGTTTTTTAGTTTTTCGAGACAGGGTTTCTCTGTGTAGCTTTGGAGCCTGTCCCGGAACTCACTCTGTAGACCAGGCTGGCTTCTGTCTCCCGAGTGCTGAAAGTAAAGGCGTGTGCCACCACCACCCGGCTCTTTTTTCTCTTTGAGACAGGGTCTCATGTATTTCAGGCTAGAACTCTATGTGTAGTCAAGAATGACCTTAAAGTAGGCAGGCACTCCACAGCTGAGTCATACCTCCAGCACCCCAGTCCTCTTTTCCTTCTTAGACAAGGTTTCATGTAGCCTAGGATGCCCTTGAACTCCTGGTCCTGTTGCCTCCTTTTCTCTAGTGCCTAGATTTCAGCGGGCATGCTACACTCCTAGCATTAAAGGCGGTTTTTTGGATGTCTAATTTTTTGATATTATGACGTGATATTGTCAGCTAAAAATCCATACTCAAGAACTATATAATCAAGTTATCAAAGTGGGAATGATGCAAAAAAATTTTCATGATGTTTTAAATAAGTTTGTTTTGTGTTGGGCTGCATCCATAGTTAGCACAGGGCACTAGCAGCCTGTGGACTGTCAGCTGACCGCTTAGAACCTCATCAGAACCGCTAAGAAGCCTGGCACTTCTTACCAGGACCACGTTGGAGCAGTTAGTAACGTCGTCATGTTTACTTTCCCCAAGTCATCAGCCCATAGTTATCCCAGGAAGTGCCGTGAAGCATGTGGTACCTGGTGGTTGTGGCCACCATTCTGACCTCGCCACTCTCCACGTGTGAATTCTGTTCTTTGTGCCCTACTGACTTAGGGGCTTATTTTTTGCTTAGTACAAGTTTTGAAGATGTAGGAATCTTAAGTTCCCAGGCTAACAGCTTAACTTTTGAAAAGCAATGAACCATTTAGGCATCTCTCTAACCCCAAGATTTATTTGTTTTTATTTTATGTGTGTGAGAGTTTATCTTTATGTACATACCCCACGTGTATAGTATCCTTGGAGGCTAGAAGAGGGTGCCAGATTCCCTGGAACATCAGTTACACGCAATTGTGAGCCACCATGTGGGTGCTGGGAATTGAATCCAGGTCTTCTGCAAGAGTAACAAGTGCTCTTAACCACTGAATCATTTTTTTAGTGTCAAGACTGATTTTCAATTCTGGCTTTCTTTCTTTCCTTTTTCTTTCTTTCTTTCTTTCTCTCTCTCTCTCTCTCTCTCTCTCTCTCTCTCTCTTTCTTTCTTTCATTTTTATTTTATTTATTTATTTATTTAGAGGCAGGGTTTCTTTGTGTTGCCTTGGCTGTCCTGTAACTCTACAGACTAGGCTAACCTTGAACTCACAGAGATCCACCAAGTATCTTCCAAGTGTTGGTAGGTGTGAGCCACCACTGCCAGGCCAATTCTGGCTTTTCAAACAATGAAATTTAGATAGAATACTTAGTATTTGTTAGTTTGTTTTTTGTTGTTTTCTTATTCAGAATTTGAGATTTCAAGAATCAGCCTTTGCTAGGCAGTGGTGGTACACGCCTTTAGCTCCAGATTTGGGAGGCAGAGGCAGGCAGATCTCTATGAGTTCAAGGCCAGCCTGGTCTACAAAGCTCATCCAGGACAGCCAGAGTTGTTACACAGAGAGACCATGTCTCAAAAACCAAAAAAAGAAAAAAAAATCAGTTTTGGATATATGCAATTTTGCTAAAAGGCCTGGATGGAGGCTTGCTGCTTGTTTAGAGTGGACGCTGGGGTGTGCCTTGGGCTTCCTCACCCATGAATGACCCATTTGTTCACTTCACAGAAGAAAGCATCTGGAATTCCCTGGGGACCTGGCCAGGGTCCACAGCTCCAAGGCACCATGCCAGTTCATACCAGTTAAGGGGGACAGAGTCTAGTTGTGTAGGTGGCTGCCAGGGTCTGGTGGTTGTCTGGGCCTGGTGCATACAGTTTGCTGACCCACACTGCTTCGGTTATGTGGATTTTATTACTTGGGGCAGCTTTTTATTATGAACATAAGGCAGGCCTTTCCTGAGGTGACCCCTCACCTTCAGGATGTACTCTGCTGGGCCTTTCTCTCCCCCTCTCTCCTGCCCTCTTTTGTGTATGTATACAAATATCACCCTCACAGTTATGCTATATCACATTCAAATTTATTTGTTTGTTTATATTGTTAGTCTAGGCTGGTCTCAAGCTCTGTCTGTTCTCACGTTTCAGCCTCCTGTGTGCTGGGATCACAGATGTGCGCCACTGTCCAACTTCTCATTTAAATTCTAGCAGCACCAGGTGTGGTGGCCACACCCTTAATTCCAGCATTCAGGAAGGTCCATGTGAGTTTGAGGCTAGCCTGCTCTACATAGTGAGTTCCAGGATAGCCAGAGCCTCATAATTCTAACAACAAACACCTGGACACATGAATTTACTCCAGTCTTGCTATGTGCATGTCTTTTGTTATCTGAATGATACCTCACCCTTGATAGCTCACAGCCCCTTCACGGTGAAATCCAGGGCCCATCACAGGTGATGTGGTGCTCTGGACCACAGTGGGTCCCTGTGGTCCTTCCTCCTAACATGGGTGTCTTTCCTTTCAGGACTGGAAAGACCATCAGCACGTCTGTGGCCAGTCAACATCTGTCACTGTCCAGGCTGATGAAGTCCATGTTGAAGAAAGTGTAATAGAAAAAGTTGCTGTTTGAGCCAGGCCACTCCCTGCTCTGCTCTGAGGCCATCACAGGCTAAGGCCCTCTGATGACTATGGGGGCTGCTGAGAAGTGGGGCCATGGGAAACTTGCCGGACAAGTTATTAACAAACAGACTGTGCCCTTGGAAACGAACTCCTGCCAGAGACCAAGGAATGCTGGTGACTTTCAGAATGGGGCACTCTGCCACAGCCCAGGGCCCTTGACCTATCACGGTGCTCTTTTATCCCTGGATCATGAGTGTACCATTCCCCTTGGGGGTGCCCTATGCCACATGTACATATCTGTCGTATCTGTTAATAAGGTTGTAAATAAAGCTCCCATCCCCCACCTGGATGGCGCTGTTACAAAGCTCACTTTGTATTCAGATGGCCAAAGGGTTTCTGTTGTGTCCTATGTACTGCTGTGGGGATATAGACCTGCCACCGTCCTCTCGTTGGTCTACCATCGTGGCCAAGGAGCTCTCAGCTCCAACCAGCCACCCAGGCCATACAGAGCAGGCCGAAGCTACACAGCATAGCTCAGTTTGTACAGTGACAGCAGGAAAAAGACAAGTGCTTGGCAAAGTCATCTGCGTCCAAGAGCTCCTCAGACAGTCACTGCTGACCACAGGACAGCCTGCAGGGGGCATTCAGGGTGTCTACCTCCAAGAAGTGGCACTGTGTGAAAGCCCCAGAACACCAAGATGGGTGACCGCCCAAGAGCAGTGGCTGTCACATGCAACTTGAAATCGATTCAATTTTTTCTTTCCCTTTCCTCTAAGGAAGAAACCCAAAGGGTCTCAGGGCATGGCACTTAGGGCTCAGTTCCCCAAGCTGTGTCAAGCCTCCCGTGACTTCTGCCCCACTCACATGAGTTTCAGCCGTACGTTTGAATCTGCAGATTTTTTCCGTGGGAGTCAGCAAAGGCCAGGCACACTTGGTATCCTAGAGTCTCCTGGGGTAAAATTTTTTTCTTTTTGGTTTGTTTGTTTGTTTGTTTGTTTGTTTTTTCAAGACAGGGTTCCTCTGTAGCTCTGGAGCCTGTCCAGAGGTAAAATTTAAGGATGTCCCAATTCCACTAACATTAGACAATATGGGGGCAGATATGAACCCATGACTCCATTGACACCTAGCAGCATGCTTGCCCGGGGATGTCAGCAGAGACTCCAGCGGGAGTTTTGAAGTGTTCGGAGCTCAATGAGGCCATACTAACTACCCTCAGTGCTGGGGAATTGCCCTTATCCAACAGGGACTATTTTAACACGGGAGGATTTGCACACCGCTGTGGGACTCAGCTCATCGTTTCTCAGTACTGAGAGCAGTGTGGCACTTTGTGCCCGTTGATGTGGGCCCCAACCTAAAGCCCCCCTCTGCAGTCCTGACTTCCATCTCTCCCACGACAGGATCGGGGAGGGAGAAATGTTAGGGTGTGCTGTCCCTGCCAGGAGTCATCTCTTCTTGCTGCACTGGGCCTTGGCCAAAGAGCCCTAGCACAGGAGCTGTTTGGGTCCCTCAGCCCTGCCTTGCACCCTGCTGCTGGATATCCATGGGGTAAAGACGGCCTGGGTGGATCTGAGTGTAGGGCTCCCTTTCAGAGGAGTACTAAGTACTAACGGCTGGGAATGTGACTCGCTGGAGCGCCAGTGAAACTTTGCAAATTCAGGGTATCTTCTGGAGAGAGGCTGGCAGGAAGCTACAATATATACTGTACTCAAGAAAGCTTCTAAAATGGTGCCCATGCCCCTTTTAATGACAGCAGAGCCCTCCCTACTGAGCTGGCCTGGACAGAAACCCCAAGAAATTCCTCTAGCTCCTCTCACAGATAGACACTTGGTCACTTTACCTGTCGAGAGGAAACAAAGCCAGCTGAAGTAGTTCTCCTAGTCTTCCTGGGGCAGAAGAGACTTCAGAAGCCTCCTGGAGCTGAGCCAGCAGCAGCCAGGCCCCATCACCCAGACCAAAATACCTCCTCTTTTGCTTGCTCCTCCCCAACCCCCAGCCTTCATAAATGATTAGGAAATAATTCGTTTAATCAGACACGCCAGCGCACTCCGCCCACCGGCTTGGATCTCCCTGACCTCAGGACAGCAGTGGCCTTTTCAGCAGCGGAGACGGAGAGACTTGCGGAAGACGTTGCGGAACTCTGCGTTGAAGATGGTGTAGATGATGGGGTTGAGGGCGCTGTTGACATAGCCTAGCCAGGTGACGGCACTGACCAGGCTAGGGGGCACGAAACAAGCTGGACACAGCGCCCGCGTGATGTGCACCACGAAGAAAGGCGTCCAACACATCAGGAAGGCCCCTGGGGGTGGGCAGCGTGAGCCTGAACTCCGGTACTCGAGGTCCCTCTCCCGGGATCCCCACACACACACCTTTCACCCTTCCAATCTAGACCCCACCCACCTCCCACCTCGTGGAGCCCGGAACTCTCCACCTGAAACCCCTCTCTACATATCAGCTCTTGCCCCAGGGCAGGAACCCACCGACGACCACCGGCAGGACTCTCATTGCCTTGCGCTCCCTTCCCGTGATCTTGGCGCCCCTCCTGCAGGAAGGCAGCGCGTTCTGTTGCTGGAGCTTTGCGTCCGGGAGCGGACACTCAGGGCCGCAGGGTCTCTGAGAGAGACCTGGCTCAGGCTGGCTGGAGCCGATGGGGCTCTGCAGGAGGCTGGGTGAAGGGGGCAGACGTTCTGGAAAAAGGGGGCCCTGAGCATTGTCCGACACGGGCGGGCCGGGGCCGCTGGGTCTGCGCGGTGCGCGGCTGTGCAGCTTGGTGTGCCGGGCTGCCTCCCAGCGCCGAAGGCCGCGAAAAGTGGCCCAGTAAAGCAGCAGCATGAGTGGACAGGGCAGGAAGAAGGAGCAAACCGAGGAGTAGACCACGTAGTCGCGGTCCTCCAGGCGGCACACGGTTGGATCGCGGCCGGGCACGTCGTTGAGGCCGCACAGCACGGGCGCAGCCACCGCGGCAGACAGCAGCCATGTGGCGGCGATGAGCAGCTGCTGGCGCTGACCCTGACGGTTGTAGCTTAGCGGCACCGTCACGGCCATGAACCTAGAGGGACACAGGCGTGGTGAGGGCAGTTGGGCGGATGACTGGGAGGTGGGGGTGGAAGAGGAGTTGTCTGGGGTACCCACCTGTCTACGCTGATGGCGCACAGGTTGAAGATGGAGGCAGTGCATAGCATGACGTCCATGGCCATGAGGGTGTCACAGAGGCGGGGACTCAGCAGCCACACGCCACCCTGAACCTAACCAGTAGAGGTTGTAGAAAAGAAACACAAAACTTGACCTTTCAGACGCTAACTTCCTGACCCCCATTCTTGTTGAAAGGAGGCAATGGCTGTGTATTAAACGGGATGGGATGGGGTGTGCACACCCAGTGCGAGTCTGAGGCAATTGGGGACACTTGTGTTAGAGGAGACAGAGGGGGCAGACAGACCTGCCTCTTGACTCAGGTCTCCTTTCCTTGGGGAAGATCCAAGAGGGATTGATACCATTTGCTGGAGGGAAGCCCATAGGCCTGACCCTCTGCCCATTGAACACAAATCCTACCCACCTCCACGACTCACCTAGAGTTATCCAGTGACAGTTTCAACTGTCACTGCTGTGGGACTTTGGATGGCTCCCTTCACTTGCTGGACAGGGTACACATGACTGTCCTGAGGACAAATGTGGTCTAGGGCTCTCAGTGAATCTGCAGGGAGTGTTCTCCAAGGGCAAAGGAACATAGAGCTAACTCAACCCACTCATCCCCAAATCCCTTCATTCTGATCTGGGATGATTAGGAGCTTAAGAATCATCACAGTGACGTCTGTCCCTGGGGAGGACCTGAGGTCAAGCATGGCTGCTGGCCTCTGCCCTAGCTCCAGAACTCAGAGTCTTCCTTAGAAATCCCGTGCATCCCAACCCCCCAGAGTTAAGGCCACTATGTCCCTCCCCATTCCTGTCATAAGCAGCTCTTCTCTGGCCAGACCTCGGGTAGAGAGAAGTTTCCACCACAGAAGACACACCTAAGAGCCAGACCTGGTCTAGGGTGACTCTGTACCAGAAGTCTCCAGAAGGTGCTGACTCTTAGCGGCCCCCAGGTTCACTATCCTGCCCAGGCCTCTCTGACTACACTTTTCACTGCTCCAAGCTGCTGGCAGTTGAGTGGTGGCAGGCTTTGCGTGTCTTCCACAGGGTGAGCTGGCACAGGTTGGCGTGTGTGTGTGTGTGTGTGTGTGTGTGTGTGCTCATGGTGCCAAGAGGCAGTGGTCATAGGCAGCGAGGTGTGTCTGCACACTTGCCTGTCGATCTAGCTGGCTTTTGGCAGGGATTAGCGGTGCAGTATTTCTGGACTGGGAGCCAGGACTTAAATGGGAAAGACAGTATCTGTGATCCTTGCTTCCAGGGACACAAGCCCTCTCTGGGTCAGCAGATCACACACAGAGAATAGAAAGGGATCCGGAGGATGGTAGCATAACCGGACAGACGCAAAACTGGCGCTGGATTCTGAAGAGCGGGAGACGGTGAGCAGTCAGGAGTGAGGAGGCCTGGAGCACCTTCAAACACCCTGGCTCAAGGTTGCTGAAGGTCCAAGCAGCCGAACCGCGCCAGGGTCGGGCAGTGGGAGGGGAGGAGGGCGAGGGCGGAAGGGACGGAGGAGAGTGGAGCTGGGACGTGGAGGCTCACCTCGGAGTAGACAAAGAGTGGTAGCACTAGTATTGCAAGAAGGAGGTCGGCGGCCGCCAGGCTCACGATGAAGTAGTTGGTGGGTGTCTGCAGGGTGCGCTCGGAGGCCACGCTCACGCACACGAGCGAGTTCCCCGCCAATACCAAGCTGATGAGCAGCACGCCCCCGACCAGCGCCGCCACACCCGCGCCCCCAAGTCCGGCGCTCGGCCCCAGGGGCTCTGACCCACGCCCGGCCAACAGCCCACCGTCGTCGTCCGTGTTGTTGTTCCCCATGGCTTGACAGCTGAGCGCACTCCGGCAAGTCGCTGAGCCCCGGGATTTGCAGGCAGGGGCTGCCCGGAGTCCCGCCCCCAGCACGTCAGCCCCGCCCCGTCCCAGCTTGGATTTCTGCACTCTAGGAAACTGGCAGAGGAAGGAATGCTTCATTTCAACAGAAGAGAATTGGGTGAAGTGAGTAACATAAAACAGACCCAGCAGCGGCTGGTGTTTTGCTTGATCCGGGCTAATTTGTGCTTCGAAGAACCTACGCGAAGGCCAGGTTGTCGGGACCAGACTCGACAGAGCCAGCCATCCCTGGCCAGGAGACACTTAGGACCTTTCAGGCCACCAAATTACCTGCCAGGAGCTCCTCTCCAAGAAGCCTTGGAGGATGTGGCTGAACTCCTGCATTGGGACAGTGTCCTTACCAAGTAGGAAGACATCAGTTCTGGTTTCTACCACTCACAGAACAGGCTGTGAGTGCCTCACCTCTTTCTCTCGTGGTTCTGGGATTGCCCCTTACCCTTAGGCTAAGCAATAGGGAACAATCTGGCACATAGAGTTAGTTCACTCTCCATCCTACACGGCAGACGTGAGCAACGCTTCCGACCCAGGCCGTGACTGACCCTACATTTCTCACCATCTCTCTTCCCAAGTCCCTGGGGTTGCCATCTCCAACCCAGTCACTCTAAACTGGACCACGCTGAAAATGACAAGTGGTCACCTCCCAGGGCCAGCCTTAATTTTTTCTTTTCTTCTTTCTTTCTTTCTTTCTTTCTTTCTTTCTTTCTTTCTTTCTGTTCCTTCCTTCCTTTCTTCCTTTCTTTCTTTCTTCTTTCTATTATTATTATTATCGTTATTATTGTTATTATTATGGCTTTTTAAGACAGGGTTTCTCTGCAGCTAGCTAAACCTTAACCCTTAACTATCCTCAGGGGCAGGTGAGTGGTTGTCCCGTTGTTCCTCACCTTTTCGGACCCTCTTGACCCTCAGCTTCCTTGCCTTTGAGACTGTGTGGACCACTGGCTACCTGTGACATCTGACAGGAAGTATCTAAGAGTGCTCTCACACTGGGGCTCTCTCTCTCTCCTTCCCCAGGCTGCACTTTTCACTCCCAGGTGCATGGCATGCTGTGTGTGTGTGTGGGGGGGTGTTTCAAGACAAAAGGAGCTGAATTCAAAATATTTTAGGGGAATTGGGCCAGTCCTCTAAGAACACAGGCAGATTGCTCACGCTGCTGAGCATATGAGTGTACCCTGCCTAGAGCACCCAGCCCTCTCTAACCCATCCTTGGCAGGTCGATAAAAGGGGCAGGGAGATCCTCCCTGCTGAAGCCTTCCAAAGCAGCGCTTGGTACCAGTGACCCACATGGAACCTGACTTCGAACCTCAGCATCTAAGACAGAAAAGCTGTCTTCTAAATCCTACACGAGTTTTGTGACATTTGTGTGCTCACACTCACATGTGTGCGTGAACATGCACATGCACTCGAGGCCACACACACACACACACACACGGAATAATAATAAAATTAAAAGCACACAGCTTTTCCCCCACACAACTTGTTAGGGTGTGGCAACAAACTGGGGAAGCCGAGGTGGGAGAACTCTGGTGAGTTTAAGTCTAGTCTGGATTACAAGGTGAGATCCTGTCTCAAAACACAAAACGAAAGGCCTGGGTGTGGTAGTGCACACTTGCAACTCCAGCATGGGGAAGGAAGGTGTAGCTGGGAGGGTCAGGAGTTCAAAGTCATTCTTGGATACAAAGCTGGTTTGAAGTTAACTTGGACTCCAGGAGACCCTGTTAAAAAATAAATAAAATATAAATAAATACATATAAAAATTTCAAATGAATCATGTGTGTGTGTGTGTGTGTGTGTGTGAGAGAGAGAGAGAGAGAGAGAGAGAGAGAGAGAGAGAGAGAGAGAGAGAAATCATGAATTTACGATCCTCCTGTCACCACTTCCGAAGTCCTGGATTACAGATATTTGTACCATCACCCTCTGTACTGAAGTCATGGCCTTGCATATGCTGGGCAAGCACTCTACCAACTCAGCTACATTTTCAGACCTAAATCAGATTTACATGTAACTTAAACTTAAAGCTAAAAACTTCAGAAGGAAAAATGGGAGAAAATCTTTGTGACCCGGGACTAGAAAGATGAGGAATCAAATGAGGTGAACTTTGTCAAAATTAAGAAACTCTTAGCCACAGGATGGGAGGCAATATTACCAAACTATATAGCCATCAGCTAACTTGTATAAATAGCAATTACAAATTATGAAGTCTTGCTGGATGGTGGTGGCTCATGATGCCTTTGATCCCAGCGCTCAGGAGGCAGAGACGGGTGGATCTCTGCGAGTTTGAGGCTGCCTAGTCTACAGATTGAATTCCAGGACAGTTAGGGCTACACAGAAAAACCCTTTCTCGAAAAATAAGACAGAACAATATGAAGTCTTTATAAAACATACAAAGAACTCTCAAAGTTCAGTAACAATAACACCACAGAAAGAAAACTCTTTTTTTTAAAAAAATCTCCTTTTGAAAGTAAAGGCAGAAATTCTTTGCAAAGGCTGGAGAGATGGCTCAGTAGTTAAGAGCATTGACTGCTCTTCCAGAGGACCTGGGTTCAATGCCCAGCACCCACATGGCAGCTCACAACTGTCTGTAACTCCAGTTCCAGGGGATCCAACATACTCTTCTGACCTCTGAAGGCACCTGAGCACACGTGGTGCACATACACACATATACATTAAATAAAAATAAATAAGTCCTTTAAAAAATTCTCAGCAAGGGGGCTGGAGAGATGGTTAAGAGCACTGACTGTTCTTCCAGAGGACCCGAGTTCAATTTCCAGCACCCACATAGATGCTCACAATTGTCTATAATTCCAGTTCCAGGGGACCCAACATGCATGTCTAAACACAAATGCACTAAAGTAAATAATTTAAAAAATTTCTCAGCAAAATCCCACTACAGTTTTTAAGAATTATGCACCATGACCCAGGAAGATTTTTCCCAGGACTGCAAGAATTCTAGAGATGAAATGCAACCATATAACAACACACCATATTAGTAGAACAAAGAAAACCCCCCACACGCCTCAAGTCCCATTTTATTAATTAAACATAGACATGATTTGACCCTTGATCATCTCAACTGAATCAGGAAAAGCAGTTTGCACACTTTGCCACACTAAACCAGGTGTGGTGGCACACACCTGTGAGTCCAGCATTCAGGAGGCTACGGCAGGAGGATTACTAGCTTGAGGGCGGCCAGGGCTGCACAGGAAGACCTGTCTCAAAGTACTAAGGCTGGGAATGTGACTGACTGGTAGAGTTCTTGTCTAGCATGTCCAGTCCCCTGACCCTGGGTTCCGTCCCCAACGGGGCGGGGGGAGGGATGGAGGGGACAATGTGAGACGTTTTCTTACTCATTAGGACAAGATAAACGACGGAAATAAATGGGGAGGTGGGGGAGGGGGGGGGGGGCGGGGAAGAGGCCTGGGATGGAGGGGACTGGGAGTCGGCTAAGTAGTTAACGTGCTGCCACACAAATGTGAGGACCAGAACTTCACTTCAGAGCCCCAGAATCTGCATAAATACACGGTGAGGGGCTGTGATTCCAGCCATGGGGAGCAGAGGCAGAGCAAGCTCGCTAGTGAGGACAGTCATATTGACAAGCTCTGGGTCTGTAAAACTCTGTCTCAGTGAATGGGGCGGAAGTGTGATCAAGGTTAATTCCTGACATCAGTCTTGGGCCTCCATATGTACAGGCACCTATGTGTTCAGACACATGGAAAACATGTATGCATACTTGCACACCATATGCACATGCACATACATATGGTGTGTAATGCAACAACCCCTTGGAGTTGTAGTTTATCCAGACTGGGACAGGCTGGGACAGGTCGTGTCAGCAACCCGGTGAGTCCCAGGCCTCATTATCTCACGTCGGATGACCAAGGACGTTGTAAGTATGATGTGAGAGACTCCTTATAGAGTGACTGATGGGAAGCCGTGTCAGTCACCTTTCCATTGGCAGGCCTGGATCAAACAATTTAGTGATCTGTTCTGTGGTGAAAAGTTTCCAGAAAAGAACAAACCTCAAACAGGACACTATTGGCCACACAGCCCTGTTACAGGGGACCATGCCCCATTTCACTGCAGGCACAGGGGCACATGATTCAATCTGTCTGCCTCTGGAGAACCTGGGAAAACAAAGGACAGTCATCGTCTTTGTCCTGGTGTCCAAGGTAAGCAGGTGGAGGAAGACGAAGGCCTTGCAGCTGCCTGTCTACCCTATTTGGTCACTAGCACGGTGAGTGACCATGACACCAGTGTCAGGTGGGCAATGGTGGTGCACGCCTTTAATCCCAGCACTTTGGAAGGCAGAAGCAGGAAGGTTTCTGAGTTTGAAGACAGCCTGGTCAACAGAGGTAGTTCCAGGACAGCCAGTGCTACACAGGAAAATCATGTCTCAAAGAGAGAGAGAGAGAGAGAGAGAGAGAGAGAGAGAGAGAAAATAACACCAGTGTAGCACAACAAATTATAATTATTCTTAATAATAAAAGCCTGAAGTCAGATACAGAGGTTAATGCTGAAAGATTAGAGGAGCAGAACAGCCAATTACTAGAAAGTTCTTACCTTTACCAATGCTCAGGCAGAAGGGGCGATCCTGTCTCTACAAAAGCTCAGACTCCTTCTGCCTTATATTCCTCTCCCTGCCCAGCCATATCACTCCTGTCTCCACCTCTCTAGTGCTGGGATTGAAGGCTTGTGATTCCAACTTCTGGGATCACCTTTGATCTTTGAGCTCTGTTTCTCTTTTAGACAGAGTCAATCTTGTGTAGCTCAGGGTGGCCTTGAACTCACAGAGATCCATCTGCCTCTGTCTTCAGAGTACTAGGATTAAAGGTGTGTGCCATCACTGCCCGGCTTTTATGGGTAGCTAGTGCCTTAGTTCTGCACTCTGATCTTCAGGCAAGCTTTATTTGCTATATTACAAACAAAATATCACCATATATCGGTGTGATCACGCTTGTCCCTAAAGAACAATACACCCATCACAATCCTTAACCAGAGTAAAAGAGGGTCTGGTCAGCCTTGCATTGTAGTCTTGTGCCTCTGAATACTGTGTAAGCATTAGGGGAAGGCATGGATGTGGAAAATATAGGTGTGGCCTTCCTGACAACGGGGAGTAGGGAAGCAGACGTTCTGTGCACTTTCTGTACCAGGGCTTGGTCCTCCTGTGCTCCGAACTGCTTGGAAGTGGACAAGAATTAAACTGTAAACTGCAGACAGGAAGCAAACCTGGGACTGCTGGCCTCAGGAAGGACACTGAGTTGATGCCTGGGAACTGTGAGGCTTCGTAAGCGCACGTGAGAAATGTCTGTCTTTACCTGCAGGAGAGACAGAAGCTAACTTGGTAAGAGAGTCCATTTGAACGGCTGGTTTTCGGGTGGTGAGCAAGTTTCCAACACCTGTGACTGCCACCTGTGGACTTCTGCTTCAAGGCCATGCGACCCATGCACATCACTAGACACTGCTGACCAGCGTGAGGGGTTTGTGCCATTCAGACCATGGGCACTGACCATTCCCAGTGCTACTGAACTGGGGTAACTCCAACGACACGACCCAGAGTGTATTGTCACCCTCCCCTGACCTCAGTGTACAGTGGTCCCCGTCACCCTCCCCTGATCTCAGT